CCTCAAAGAGCTTAAAGGACGCTTAAAATAAATGAGCAAGACAAATTTTTGTTGAAATCACTGAATTTTCTAAAATTGTAAAAGTTCAAATATTTTTGACGTATTCCTATAACTACAATATTAAAGATATATATTTCTTACTTAATGAAATCTGCAGCTCAAAGATATATTTAAATTAACTCAAGTAGAATTTTCGAAAATATGAGTAAATTTCTAGAAGTTTTACGTGAGGGGGGGTGTAACGTGTGTGTGGAGGGGGGTTACGTAGGGAAGTTTCACCATTATGTTTTAGAAACGGATCCACCTTACTTTAAACTTTTTCCTCGTATACATCAAAAGACGAAGAAAAGAACGCGCTAGTCTCGTTTTCGGAGAACTCTGACTTGGAAGAAATATGTTCTAAAAAAATCGAATTTTTAAAAAAGGTCACGTTCAATTTTTTTAAATAATAAAATTTCGCCTAATTACATCTCGAAAAATGCGTTTATGTTGCTGATTATTTTTGCCATTAACAAAGGATCACCAAGGAGTTTTGTCTTGAGGGGTGGGGGAGCATAAGGTGTAGTGACCAATGTCACACAAAGACTTTTTTATTTATATGGATTATACAATTTATTTTATTTATTGACTTTTAGCTGATATTTATAAAGTTAAAAATAGATGTATTGACTTCAGTTAGTAGAGATAATTCGTAAAACTTGTCTTAATTCCCACCTTGTCGGCGGCTGTGGTCACTATAATCTCTCGTTCAGGAAATACGCAAGGGGCGTCTTGTAGTCCGGCGGCGGCAGGTATTGACGGCCGCGGAGAGCCCGCGCACTCGTCGGCTATTTCGAGAGGCCGTGCGATATCAGTGCGCCCGCAAGATCAAACGCGCGCGCGGCCCGTGAATACTTTACGGGCTCCATAAAACCTGTACTTCCGTCAGTGCTCTTCAAGCAGAATCGCGGTGTGTCTGGGGGAGAGACCGCTGTCCCTGGTCTTAAAGCGAAAGACACCTTTTGATTCTCTCCCGACTCTCCGCGTCGCACGACTCCGCAAAACAAAAGTTTTCACGTAAAGTTATTCGGTTTTTCTTCCTTTCGTTACAACATTTCCGACTTCGCGAAGGAACGGCGTGTCCGCTGTCTAGGCTGCTCTTGAGATTGGAGTCTATTTCGATTCATGGAGTTACTCCATTGTTGGAGAGTTGGAGCGAGTCCAAATCGATTTTCGCCCGGCTTCAGGCGCCCGTGTGCTTTTATTTTCCTTTTGCCGATGTTGGTGATGTGTAAACACGGTATGGTTAAGTTTCGTAGTTGAACTACATTGAGAGGTTGTGCGCCATATGGCTTTACAAGGAGGGCTCTCTGTCAAGTTGCTCCTCGTTTTGTGAAAGTGGAAGAGACAGTGTTCAGTTATAGTCCTGGAGATAGCATGTTTGGAGGAAACTTTAGTATTGTGCATGCAGCGGGATGTCGCGCTTTTCTTGAAGAGAAAATTGATCTGTCAGGGTTTGTACTGTTTGAAAATACTAAACATTTTGACACTTTTCACGACTCTACAATCAGAAACCAAGTGTAGTGCTATAAACAGCGCCTACTTTGCGCATTACTTCAAACTTTTACAAATTTAAAAAAAATCAGAGATTTCAACGAAAATCAGACCTGCGCATTTTTAAAGAATCTATTACGCTTTCAGAGGACAAAGTTTAATAATAGAAATTGGAGCCGTATCTAAGAATTCTTAAAATGTTCACGTGAAGAAGCCAGGCTTCATCAAAGAAGCCCCCAAAAATCAAAATATTCAACTAACTACGAGGTGTGGCCATTTTTGACGAGTAGCCTTTTGGACGTTCATCTCTCATTGCTTATACGATGTCGATGTTTTCAAAATATCGATGTTTTATTTGTAAATGTAAATTCTCAAAATTTTACAAAACCTAAAATAATATCTAACAGCACCACTGTCCATGTATGGGTTCGACCCAAACGAACGCTGTTTGTACTATTTTCATCGAGCAGATTTTCTCTCGCCCGGGATGACCCCGATGCCCTCTTGGCATTTCCTGTCTTTCCAAGTATTTTGCACTTCATTGGCGATCAAAACAAGCTTCGTTGCCGTAGGGCCTCCCCACTTCTTCCCATGCCACTCTTCGGCGAACTGAACTTCACCTTCCCCTTTGAGATGACCCTGGATTTTCAGGGTTAGTTTTGTCCGTTGTTCTGATTATTTTTAACTTCGTTTTGAGTTACGATTTAATTTTACATAGTCACTGTCAAATTAAATTCTGTTGCGCCCGAATTCATCTTTAGAGGTTACTAAACCACTTCTAAAACAATGATGGTTTTTGGTCGATCTATTATTAGATAGTTTGTGCGCCCTCGAACGTTAAAGCACAACCTATCTGTGCGCATGCGCATCTCAAGTTTTAGTGCATCTGCGCATGCGGAGAAGATCGATAGCTCTGTCCGCTATGGCATGCAAAAACTCCCTAATAATAACACATGTTTCGATTTTGAACATCGATGGTAGACGACATGGATGTTTAGTTATCGACATCGCACCCCTGCTTCAAGGGCACGTGGGCTCCTAAGGCAGGCGCACTTCGTATTGCCCGCTCCGTCCGCTCGCCGATGTGACACGCGGTTGGCTTTCACGGCAGCCGCCACGCTCCCCCGCTTTCCAATGGAATGCCGCCGAGCCCTCGAAAATCCGCTCCCCGAAGGTACGAAGAAAGAACAGCGCGCGTTCGCACGCGGGAGCAAAAGCCGCGTAATTAAAGCGCGTTTGACGCGGTGGGATATTGTGTTTTATAAATTCCGACGCGGTTCTAAATTGCATTTGAATAACAGATTGCGACAAAACAAAGGGGCGTAAAAAGCATTTCATCGAACACTAATACAGAAGAGCAACACGTTTGCATAGTCACAGACCTACCAGAATCGACTAATAATGGACACAAGTTAATAGGACAGAGTTCATTACATTAGTTTGAGTAGACACATCGTATATTGCATACTAATCATACTCAACGAGAGGGTTCGTTTCCCAAAACATCAATATGTTTCGGTAAATTGAAACAGGGGACGCAAGTTAACATAAATCAAAGCGGCATCTACAGCCACTTACTGCAAAATTGTCCGCGATTTAATTATCAAGGCAATGCGAATGTTATATATAATTTTCACAAAATGTTTAATGTTAATTTATGGCTTGTTTTCGCGAGTAAAATGAAGATACTTCAGTAGTAATAATATATTTTGTGTTTCATGGTAAAGAGATATCTAAAATTATACTGATCCCCTAAACGTATTGGGTAAAGTCTGTTAAATTCCAAACAGTTACACCAACAAACTTCCTCGAAGCAGTCGCATTATTCCTTGGCGACAAACAACCGCTCGAGTTGGCAGAAACTTCTGGTTAAGAGGATGCGGGAAGGGGGGGGGGGCACACGAGCAAACAGCGGGGAGTTATGATTACGTTTTCTGTTCGTGGATGTATCACTTGGGACAGAATACATGTAGAGGTATAATTGAACTTGAAAGTGAAGAACATATTGTTCTTCTAAAAGGGTTTTGTATTTCTACTCGCTGCTTCTGTTTCAGCACCGAGGTTACGAATTCGCTCCAATGAAATGAAGATAAATGGGGATGATATTGATTACAAGAAAACAGAATCTCAATTCGTATAACAGCGGAATGATCGACTGAAGCTGTACAAAACGAGCGGCGCAGTTTACTGGAAATAGGATCATCTGCGAATGAAGATGTCTTAAAGAATGGGGACATGGAAACAAATATGTCAATGTAAACAATGAAGAGATGAAATATTTACGGACAGCTAAATTGATTTGGTCATGGAACATAGTCATGGAGCTTATAATCAGCTTGAATAGTTTTATATTTGTATTCTACGCTTTACAAACAGTGTTCTACCTTTACTTATCATTACCTATTTATGGTTAAAAGGTATAGAAGAGATTTCAGAGCCCAAATAAAAGTGCGCAGATTTTTTTTCTCTCCCATACGTCATATTTAGATTTTACTTTTCATTGACGAAATAAATCAAATTAATCTACTTATCAACCAAATCTCTCAAATACAGCATTTTGCTCCTCTGAGAACTGACAAGCAATGATATCAGGAAAATCTTTTGAAGCGTGAATGAGGGCGTGGTCATAATTCGTAAAAGATTTTCGTATACCAACAAATCTTTTTAGGCAGCCACTTGTTAAATCGGTTCTTTGAAGGGCATGCATAGCGAGTTAAGAGTTCAATTTTTAGAACTAAAGCTGAAAGTGAGTCGCTGCCGAAATGTTCAGGAAATTTTGTGATTGCAACAAAGAAAAGAAAATACTCTCGCCTGCTCGCTTCAGCAACTACTGACTTTAATGTACTGATGTAGTGATTTGTATACTTAAAATAAAATGAAAGTCAACAAGACTGTTTAAAAATAGTGCATGATACGAGTAGTATGTTTTTATTTTATTTTGCTCGTAGGATAGCGCCGCTTAGCGTATCGGCCTCGTCTCGCAATCTTTCCTACTCGCAAAAACAAATGTCACTTTTACCACTCGTATCATACATATATATTTTCAAATATTATAATCATTCATAATATTGCTCGAACCATTACGTCAACGTTAATTCTGCCCGCAATATGAATCGTCGCTGTGTTTTATTCTCAATCCTCCCGCACCAACTACCTCTGAAAACAAAATAAAAAGAAATGATGTACTCTTCTCGAGCTCGTAGCCTTTTGGTTGGGAAAATGTAACAAACAAAAATTAAAACAACACCTCATCTAATTTGTATGCGCATGAATAATAATACTTCAATTATTCAAGTTCGTGAAAGACATCCAAGAAGAGGATTTAATTTCAACGAACCTGATGTTTCTTTACTATTTTCTGCATTAAACAATATCTTATGAGTTGATGTCCGACTGACTGACATACAAAAGATTCAAACAAGATACCTGAAAAAAAAATGTACATCTCACTCTTATTCCAAATGTTTTCAGAGAGAAGCGGTGCTCAAACGGGTGGGTCCGGGCCAGCGCCTACTGCCGAGATGTTGCTGGTCTAATGTAATGAAAAGGGGGGGGGGAGGGGCAGTTCGGCCCGTTTGAGCAGCCGTGGTATGAAGCACGCTGCAAGAGGGCGGCGGCGGTGGGGGCGTGCCTACCTTTAGTTGCAGGGACGGCTGGCGCAGCGCAGCGGGGTCTCTCCGTCCGCCCAGGCGGTCGGCCTCCGCCTCCAGGCACTCCAGCGAGCTCTCCGCCTCCGACAGCCAAGCCAGGAACTTGTCCAGCGAACGGTCCAGGTTGTGCAGCGAGTTCATGGCGGAGTGCAGCAGCTTGCCTCGGTTGATAATGCTGCAAGGCAAAAGCGCGCTCGTATACTCGTGCAAGCCACTTCCCTCATCGAACCAGTACCCTCCGACATGGTGGTATGTCATCCAGGGAAACTCCAAATACAACTTCACACTCTTACTCTAACCGTCATGTCGCTTTTATTTGAAAGTAAATTCACGTTAAAATTAATTAAAATCGTAGTGAGACCAAGACGATAGTAAATATTCAGTAATATATCATAAATATCAGTAAATATTCCTCAACAAGCCGAACTAACTGTAAATGAGCAAAAAATATAGCATTTCTGATACATCGGGAAGGTAGAACGTATGACTACTACATTCAAGTGATTAAGTCAATGCATCTAAAGGATCTCTTCACACGGGCTATTTGCCTACCGGGGAAGCCCGATACTCCCACAGGAACGGGCAACTTTCCACGACTCCTCTCTCATTTCCCTCCGGAACTAAAAACGGGTGTTCAGGCGCATACTACAGACACGCAAGGAGAAGAATATTAGCTTCACACGAAAATATGTTTGCAAATTTGTTCTACCAATCAACCGAGATTTAAATGTATGATTACAATTTTACACCAATCCTTGTCAATTTTTTGTATTTAATTTTTTTTAAATAAATGCTCAAATTGAACATTTATTTACTTAAAAAAATTCGGGAGTTAACCCCTATCCCGATATCTACACCACTGCTTTGCTCTATCTACCCAATAGAAAATTTAACCAAAATAAGAAAAAAACGTTTCTCCTGAATTACACTTTTTTGTGTGAATGTAACTTCGCATTTCGTACATTTCTTCAAAAAAGCCTATATTATTATTTGGAGCCGTTTTTGAGAAACACTTTAAAATGTACTTGAGGCTTTGTGTAGAGTAGAATTAAAATATCTGTTTCAAGTTCAAAGGGCCTCGATATCACCCAAATAGATCAGTGAACATCGAATTCGGTCCAGGGAATATCAATTTCGGCAATTTCTTGTTTAGCGCCAACTTTGATTACAGAGCGGACAGACCTTTCGACCAAAACCAATTTTTCGGCAGCAAGGAGCCAACTAACGTTAATTCTGATCACACAAGGGTTATAGGAAGTTAATTTACTAAATACAGGAACACGAGTTATCCAATTTTTCGGTATAAGGAGCCTACTTTTTCCGCCGAAATTTTGCAGTGTTTCGCTGTAGCATTGCATAACGTTCTATGTACTACGTACGTAATTCGCAAGAAAGTATATAAGTACTCAGCTCACATGAGTACTTATTTCAAATGTCGGAATCGTCTCCTATCGTCGCCCCGTCTGTCAACATTGCAATCTTAAGCCAAAGATTTACTTTCTATACTAACTACTTAAATATATATTAGACTACTTCTTATTTTTTCTGAACTTGTAGTGTAATGTGATTATGATACTGTGTCCAACATTTGGTGGTTCAAAGGAATCAATTTCTCTCATTGCAATTGTAGTAGATCAATGGCTTCAAATTTTGTTTTTAGGCTCAAATTACAGATTATTATTGAATCAAAGTTCATATTTTATTGAACGACAAACTCAAACATACTATACTATTTTGCTTCAGACAGAAAATAATAATGATATTCATTTCAATACTTTGGTCACAAGTGTTGCAATTTTTCATTTATGCTTAAAGTCCTTTTTTGTATATAAAGTAATATGTACTGCAAGAAAAAAATTGTTTTAGCACCTGCAAAAATGGATTTTTGCGCTTTCTACGAAAATGAGCAAGAAACTACAAAGCATTGCATCTAGACGTGATATAGTAATTGTACCATGATGTTACAATAATTGCAAATTATATAGAGAGACATATGAGCACGTGTGGCTCAAAGAACAATAATTATTTGAAACAGTTTCATGTCCGCCTAGTAAAATGGTATTTACTTCACATGGCTGTTTCTACACACGAAACGACATATACATTCCACAAAATGACAAAAACAATTCTTCATTTGCCCTCTGAATGCATTCGTCGTTTTTATTTCGTACCAAGCCAATCGCGGCAACAACTACCCAACGCGCACCAGCCTTCGAGCGCGCGTTCCATTTTCTCTCATTAATTAATCTGCTCAGAGGCCTCTCGTTAAGCCAGTGAATTATTCGGCCCTCACTCGTTATCATTCGCTGATTACGTGTGCGGGGTGCGAGACATCAGGACACGCGACGGAGAGGAAGACAGAGAGAGACAGAGGCAGAGAGAGAGAGGAGAAAGAGAGAGTGAGTTAAAGAGAGAGAGAGAGAGAGAGATAGGGGGGGGGGGCAGAAGAGAATGCGATCGGTTGCAGGCTGCTGGTAATAATGTAGAGGAAGCGGAGGAGATGCTTGAAGCGATTAGCTGGGCAAACACAGGGCAAGCACGGAAATTCTGCAGATAAAATAATGACGGAGAAGGTCGGTTGGCGCAAGGAAAGGCAAAGAAAAGAACGGCGTCTGCAAGAAGCAGAAAAAAACAACAGAACAGTACGTTCGAGGATTAGATCGCGAACGAAAAGGAAATGGGAAGGCCGAAGAACATATAGTAAGATATGCGAACTACGTTAGCAATGATGTGGGTCTGCGGTTTTTAATGAGCTATAAGACAAAGAAAACCACTCACCAATCAAATGAATTTATTCAACCACTTTCTACTAACAAAAACAATGATAAAGTTATACTGAATGTTCTCTAACAAATCTCATCATACAGAAATTATGTACCCTTTTGCACACGACCTGTTGACAGACACGATCACATTTGACACGTTTCATAACTAAACTGCGAACACATATTTTGTTAACGTCAATTACAAAGTTCTACACAAACGCTGCAGGGAGTTGCAATCATGAGAGCAGCACGTCACCAAACAAGAATCCGTACAGAAATGGTAGAGGAGAAATTAGTAAACGCAATAAGAGAGCAAAAATAGACTAGCAGGAACATCAAAAAGCAACGTGGTTTTCAATTATTTTCACACTCTTCTGAGAGACGTATATTGAGAGAGAGAGAGAGCTTTTAGTGAAGAGAGGAAATTCGTCTTTGTGTTCGAATCGGCACCATGCATTTCAAGCGAACAAAAGGCATCCTTTCGCATTTCTTCGCAAACATTACAAATCTCGGCAGCGAACGAAACAAGATTACGAAAAACCGGAGCACAGTCCTTTGACAAACATCAGCAATGCTACATCGGATTCTCACGGCGTATGGCCAAAGGGATAAAGCGCGAACTCTTTGTAGCTTAATGAATGAAGATTATATGTGCAGCTAGTTATAGGGTTAGGCATTTTCCAGAGATGATACGGAATTAAACGAATTTTCTACTTTATTACTTGCGTCTAGTTCATTGCGTATTTCCTATTTGACAGTAGCTTTTAATGAAAAATATAAAAAGTAAGAATTTTTATGCAGACTTGTAATGTTTACGAATGTTGCTTAAAAATATACGAGAATATATATCTTTTATAGACCTTATACATAATTACATAGTAATCTTTAGAAAGGTACACTTTTTTCAAAAATACGAGTATTCGCACAATTTTGTGAAATATATGGAATTTAAAAAACATTCTTTGTCAAAAACAACTCCACTTTCTTTTTAAACCCTAGTCTCGAGTACAGCATAAGACGCTAAAAAATCAGGTAAGTGTAAAATTGCGTAGAAGTGTAAATTTTTCAAAACGTGTAATAATTCACCAGTTTTTCTTTGTCTTCCTACAACTAAAATATTATTGATAGAATTTTTTTTTTAATTCAATAATTATCATTGAAAACTGTTCTTCAAAGTTCGTTAAGTAAAGCTAACCACAATTTGTTTCTAAAATCTGAGTAGTTTTCACGTAATTCCTGCTTGTAGTAAAGGCAATTTATATTTGTTTGTTTAGAAACGACTCTAAATGTTTCATTTATATCTTTTCTTTTTTCGAAAAGAGAAAGGTACGAGTATAAAAACAGTACAGGTTTGATATTCGTTGAATTCTCGTAATTTTCGAAAATTACCAACGTTACAAATAATACGAGATAGTATGTGTTGTTGCAACGATTCTGGTTTAATATAATAATTTAGAAAAAGAAAAGAAGAGAACTCCAATAAAGATAATTATGTAAAAGATTAGCATGAATGCTCCTTCTCTGCAGTATGAGAGTACTAGATAATGAAACCTACAATGATATGTCGGTGTCTATTGTGGCAAAACAAATTCGGGGCTAGCATGTCATTACCACTTTCTAAGAGTGGGTAAAAACAACTAGTCAAAGATTGGACTAGGGCAATAGAAATGTCACTACGTTTGACAAATAGAGGGGTGTTAAGGTGCCATGAATCAGATATGGCTTCCCTCGGCACTGAAGACACTAACGTTGGGTTGAAAATCTCAGTACGGTGTCAAACAAAATTGAAAGAACAGCGTGCCTTAACGAGTAACGAAATGGAAAAATAAGTCGTTGATGAGTAACGAAATGACGTACAGTTAGACACAAACTGATGAACGTGCAAGAAAACAAAAGCAAAAAAAAGTGATTTAGAAGTTAGAAATGCAAAAATACGAAATATTAGATGCACGCACAAAGTCATAATCCAGGTGACTTCCAAATACGGAAGCGCAGAAACAGAAAAGGTAAACCGACAAAGGTTTTCAAAAAAGTCCGTGTCATGTCGAAAATCCGAAAAATCTTTACATTTTTTAACACAAAGACGAAATGCCCATATCTCACACACTATCCAACATATATCGATTCTAAAAGCACTAGAGGAGCAATACCCGGTTTTGACCCGAACAGGGAAAGAGCCTTTGCTTATCACAAATGACTGGAGCGGCAGAGAGAGAGAGAGAGAGTCCCGCATAGAGTTGTCGCCCGCGGGATCCGCGCGATGACGGCGGGCGTGGGCGGGCGTGCGCGGGCGTGCGCGCGCGTGCTCTTTGAGCCAAGGCGCGGCGCCGCTGGGGGCTAAAAGGACCATCGCGCTAATGAGCAATGGAACATTAGAGCGCGGGCGCGCACACGAGGCCGCCGGTCCGCAAACAAGGGCAGCGCAAAGCCTCTTAAGTGGACGCGACAAGTGCCCCCGGCGCGCTTCGCCATATCATTAATTGCGCCACCAGCACTACTTTGCAGGGATGTTGCTTTCAGTCGCAACGTCGGCGGTAAAACACAAAAGGAAACATTCACAGAACTACGGTCTAAATCTCTGTGTATCATGAAACGTAGAAATAAAGTAATTACTTTGCTAAATGTATTGAATAATATTCTTCCTTCATTACAACCTACACATTTTAATTCCATAATAAAGGATAAATAATACAGTTCTTTCTAATTGTATGTTCACCAAAGTATTTTCAATTAAAACCCGTTAACTTGAAAGACATTTTATGAATAAACGAGTTGCTTGTTGGACTAATTTGTTATTTAGTTTATTATTGCTTTACATCGTTGTAGAACTTGGAAGAAGCAATAATTGAACGATTAAAAGCGAAACAAAACCATCAGTTCCTAAGCATATTACAACCGGTACACTTTTGTACCGAGTGTCGAGTTTTGTGTGCATTTCTTAGGCCTACCTGGTATTGAGGTTGTTGTAGCGCTGGTTGACGGTCTCCGTGAGCTTCTTGACGCGCGTCGTGTCATCCTGCTGGTAGACCGCGATTAGCTTCTGCGTCAGCTGGTTGAACAGCTCGATGTGGTGCTTGTACTGGTGCAGCTCCGCGTGGTAGCTCTGCGAACACGAGCGCGGCGCTGCAGTGGGGCGGAGGGCGTTCCCGGGGAGAGGGACGAGCAAGGGCGTGCGCAGCGGGAGAGCCGGATTACCCGAGAGGAGCGAGGAACGAGAATGTACGGGCGGGAAAAAGGAAGGAAGGCGCAAAGAAATCAACGTTTTGGTAATCTGACCTACGGAGCGTGAAAGGGAAGAAAGCGGGCGGGAAGTGGAAGGAGTAAGAGAACAGAGAGAAATGAAATTTAGGTAACCTGACTAGGGCGCGAAAAAGGCGTGTAAGGGCGGATAATGGGAGGGAGGCGCAAGATAAGGAAACACAGAACAGAGAGGAATCAACACTTCGGTGACCTGACTAGGGTGCGAGGAAGAAGCGCGTAAAGGCGGAGAACGGGAGGAACCTTACGATAAAAAGCTAGAGAGTAGAAAGGGATCAACAATTTGGTAACCTAAGGAGCGTGTAAGGGAGGAAAACAGGGGAAAGGCGCAAGATAAAGAGTAAGACAGTAGAGAGAAATCTACACGTGGGTAATCTGAATAAGGAGCGTGAAAGGGGACAAGCATGGAGTAACGGAATAGAGAGGAACGAACATTTCTCTACCCTGACTGCGGTGCGAGGACGAAGCGTGTGAAGGCTGCAAACGGGAGGGAACCGTACGACAAGGAGCTAGAGAATAGAGAGGGATCAACATTTTGGTAGCCCGACCAGGGGAGAGAGGGGGGAGGGAGGGGGGGCGCAATTACGTCCGAGGCCGCGATCAATGTCGCGGAGGCACGCGGCGCAAATTGCGGCCCTTGGGGGAAGGGCACGCCGCGACGCTCGAGCCCTGGCCCGAGGAGCAGCTTGCCCTCCCCCCCCCCTCAACCCTCCACCGCGACTCCGGGACGAGGACAGATGACGACGAGGAAACAAAAGGCACTCTGCACAACTAATGAGGCGTCAAATAGCACACCTCCCACACCTACATCACTCGGCACAATGGAAAGGGATAAAGCAGGTGGAAGGTGATGAAGACGAAAGGTAATCGCCCGCGGTCACTTACCCCCCTCTCTCCCTTCCCATCTTAAACCCCTTTCACTTTTCGTTACGTTTGATAAGGCATGGCCCGACCGCATCTCGTTCCGTTCGTCTTGTGTTTCAGAAAGAGTCAGCAAGTTTTTGGTAAGTGGAGCAAATAGATGATTACCACAGAAAACGCAAATGGACATGGCAGAATGTTAGAAATTGCGCGTCGTATGTCAGGGAGATAAAAAGCTGAACAGAGCGTGATACAGTCGGACTCCGCCTTTTGGGGAGATAGGTAAACGGCTTAGGAAAGTTGACCGCCCGATGCAGTTGGCATACACCAAGATAAAATAGTCCATTAAATGTACTAGAATAAAGCCGCATTAACGTGATTGAAAGCACCCCACATTTATCAAGAACACAGTTCAATAGTAGTAATCAGTTTGTTTTGAAAATGGCACAACAAAAAAATAACACTTACCACTTTCATCCAACGTAATAATTTTAAAGCGTCTAAAGACAGGTTTTAAGTCTCTGTGAATTCACGGTCACAGTATTAATTCTAGGTATAGTTAACGTCACTGAAATAAATTCCTGGTTTGTCAACGTTTCAGTACTTTATTGTTTCCCTCAACAGCGCTCTTATCATTTCACAGAAACCCCTGAGTAGGGAACAACGACGTTCCGAAACTTTGCCAAACTAGAATTTTAATTGAGTGACCAACGCGCGTTAACTGTTGCTAACTGCTGCGCGAACGCAGGGAGTGCGACTCACCTTCTGCTCGCGGAGCTGCGCCTCGAGCACGTCGGCCGTGTGGCCCACGGAGCCCATGCGCGCCAGCCGCGTCTCCATGCGCGCCAGCCACGCCTCCACCTCCTGCCGCTTGCCCTCGTAGCGCTGCGAGTCCGCCAGCATGGAGTCCAGCACCGCCTTGCGCGCCAGCACCTTAGCGTTCGTCTCGTCCCAGTGCTCGCGCAGCTTCGTCACTGCGGAACGGAACAACGGCCCCTTGCCAACCTTCCTCCGCACACACACACACACACGCACAAAGGATAGATAGGGGATTGATTGATTGCGGGCGCGCACGCGGCTAAGATCATCGGTCCCGTAAGTGTAGTGCATGTTTTGTCGCGGGAGCTGGCGATGACCTTCCCCACTGGATGGTGAGATACGGTGCCGCCCTACGTCGGCTAGCGGGGTTTACCCCAACCAGGTATCTCCCACCAGCGGGGCATCGCCCCAGCCCGGATAAGCTCTAAGCGTCCGACTGGTCTCCCGGCATGTGTGGTGGTGTAGTGAATGTTAGTGTAAGTATGTAAGGGGTGAGGGTAGGACGAAGAAGAGGAAGGAAAGATCGCGCGCGGTCCGTGGCCCGTTTGTCAGGTACTGCTCCGGCATTCGCCTGGTATTGATCGGAGAAACCACGGAAAACTACCGATCAGAGCAGCCGGCCGCTAGAACTCTCCTCCAGACAACGGCTGAATTCGACCTGTAGCTGTATAGCTATTGTCGAAAATCCTGCCACCGCCGGGACTCGAACCCTAGGACCTTCTATTCAGAGGCACTGCAGTCATCAATTGATGCTCCGAGCTGTCTTTGCTGCTAAGTGAATACAAACATAATCAATGCTCTCTTCACAGGAAATTTCACAGGTGAAATGAAACTTAGCGATAAATTCGCGAGTCGCGAAGCAAGAAGCGGACTTACCTGAGACGTTTCATACCACGAGTGAAATTCGGTTACAATTCACGTATTAAATTCATAAGTCGATTTAATATTTTTAAAGATAATGTTCAAAATAGTGCAAAATACTTCTTGGTGTGTAGTTTCAGACGCCATATTTATTATTTTAGTTTCCGTCACGAAAGGAGTATTTATTTTCCAAAACAATTGAACGACACCTGCTGTAAGACGATGGCAAAAAGTACACACGAGAACTTTCCGATTTTAGGCGCCCATGATTAGTTTGTAACCATCTTATTATAAAACGCTATTGGCCGAACATTTCGTTCCATCACGTGAGCATCATACATTTATTTGATTTGAATGCGCAAGAATGTATTTTGAACAATATAGTTAAATGAAAATTATTTTCTCCTGATAAAAAACTCTGCAGATCCAACTAAATCTTTAGTAATTTATAACATCGTTTTTATTTTCACATTCAAGTAAATAAACATTTGTATTTCGTATTCACCACACAAGGAGTGATTAGCCCACAAAAATAACGAGAAGTTAAGACGCGATTTCGCAAACGTTTTCTTCTGGCACGGTAGCTTCGCCTGGCCAGGCCTCCCTTCCCACCCGCTCGCGTCGGGTTAATATCCCACTCGTAACTAGGGCGCTCCGCCCGATCCAACCGCGCCGCCGACTCGGCGATTCCAATTTCATAAACTTGCAACTGAATTACCCGACAGCGCGCTTTAATCAAACTGTCCAACTGCTTGCATTCAAGTCGCCTCCGCCCAACGAATTTGCACTCGGCGGGATACGCGATCAGATGGCGGCGGACTCTCGCGTCAGTCGCCAGCGCCGACGTGGAGGGCGGGGGGCGGGGGGTCGCAATTAGACCAAGTGGCCCCGGCAGCCGACAGAAGGGACCGGACAAAGGACATCTAGAGAAGGACCGCGCGTGCCTCTGGCAATTTGCACTTCGGACTGTAATAATAAATTGTTTTTTTTAAATATTATATACTAAGGAGAAGCTTTGAGATTAACTACGGGGACTAACCTAGATAACAAAGGAAAGGCAAGAACTAAATCGATGATAAAAATACAAAATGTTCCCGAAAAAACAAAAAAAGATTACGAATGGAAATATGTTTTTAATATTTCATTTTATATACTGTATCATTCTAATTGTTGAGAGAGGAACCTTAGCGTCGAAATCAATGAAAAGTAGAAATTATTTGCTTTCGTTGCTCAAAATAGCACATGGAAAATGAAATTGGATTAAGATGAATGTACGATCCGATTATTATTATTATTATTATTATTATTATTATTATTATTATGTGGAATTCATGACAATAACTTCTTCGCTTACGCAGACGGCAAAAAAAAACACGTATTTCGCTGTATGTGTACTTTTTTTTCAATCAATAAACAGAGATGGTAAGAACGAGTTTCCATGCAGTAGTGCTGAAAAATATGTTAATTTCTAATAATATAATGATTTTGTATCATCAAATCGAAATATTGAACTTCTGGCCATTAGTTATTTCTTCATAACATTACAAACATGTTTTCCTTCCAGTTAAATGCAATGCGACAGGCAAAAGAAAATCGAAACGTATTAAAAGGTCTAAAAGCCAAAAACTCTTTTTTTCTCTCTCTTTTTTCTCTTCCCCAGAAGTAGTGGGTGGAAGTTGACCGCGACCTGAAGGGGGAGCCCGAGCTGATCTGCGAGGGCAGAGAGCGTCGTCACGCGAGGCGACGCGAGCGCCGCAGCGCGTGGGCGGCGACTCGGCGAAGCGGACGGACTCTCTCAGGCGCAGGGGCCGCCGCGCCCAGCGCCTCTCTCGGGCGCCGGGGCCCCTCCGCCGAGAGCGCGGCTGTGCACCACTAGCGTTTGACATTTGCACGTGCTCACCGCAATTTACTTTGCTACTTTGAACGTTTCTCGAGCCACGATTTCGCCACATAAATGTTAAATCTGCTTTTTATACACGGACATTTGAACATTTTATTAGACTTTAACTTTAATTCTCGAACATGCATTTTGCGATAGCTAATAAAATAAGAAAACATAACTTATTTTTAATAAAATAATGTAATTTAATCCCATTTTCAATTAAGTGACATTTTTATTGTAAAGTTTGTAAATATTTTTCTGAAATTACCAAAGGTTAATTAAAAAACAGACCTGTCAGTATGATTTTATAATCGATAAAGTTGAGTAAAAGAAACCTCTGACGTACGGGAAAAAAGCCCACGCAACTATCGACCCTTTCATTAACATTTATTTACAGTGTGATTCGAATCAGCGAGTTCTGCACCTCCAATAGCAACAACCGCCCACCCGTTGCAGAACCACTTGCACCCACCGCCCCACCGGCGAGTCAGCCGACCCGCCCGCTGCAAACACGGGGCGCCGTCCCAGTTAGTTCGTTAGCTCGAGATAATCCCCGGAGTTTGTCGTGCGCCTAGCATGAACGGCGGTGGCCGACTGTGGGCGCCTGCGTCCGCTGTCCTCCGCGGAGGGGGCGCTGGCTGGCTCCGATGGCCCGCTCGCCCCGCGGCGCTCAGCTCATCCACCCCCACCCCCACCTCCCCCTCGCCCTCGCCCCGCGCAATCGACCGCACGGCCCGCCCGTCCAACTCTCAGCTTGCTCCACCGCACCACCAACTACTAAAAGTCTTTTTCGTAATATCAAAAAATATTATTTGAAAATTGGTGAAATCGACTTTTATTATTTAGTGAAATCCACTTTCATTATTTATTAGAAGTAAGTAAACCATTTAAAGCTCTTAATAATGTGAAATATCCAATTCATTGGCTTACTGAGTCTATCATTAATTCAATACAATTCACAAAATATATTTAAAAAAATTGTTTGAATTCCTTTTCAGTACGTACCCTCGTTAAAACTGAAAACAATTCTCTCTCATACTGAGCCTCATGTACATCTCAAGCTTATGATAAATGTTCCCGTAAAAATTACTGACTACTACCAATCTTCAAAATATCTATATTATCTGTCTCTTGAAGTTATATCTGACCTTAAATTAATAACTGCATGCGTTTTAAACGACTTTTCTTTTATCAAAGAGAAGAATATTTTGATACTTTTTCTTGCTGTAGCCATATATCATCGCGAAATTTGTTAGGCCCGTATGTTGTATTGCTTGGTTTTCTCTTGGTATATAATTGGTTTGTGATATTCGCTCTACCGTGCAAAACGCTAATTTTATGAAGCTGGAATTGTTTAGTTTTCAGATTATTTTTTTAAATGTTTGACGGTCTGTATATTAATAAAAGTGATTAAATTACATTCAACTTTTTTTAATATTACGTCACGACAATTTTCAGTGCGTTCTTTTCATATATATATTCGTATTTCCTGAGCTCTCGTAAGTCATCCAGGTGTATTTGAAAACGTGTACGTAGAAGTCGGTTGAGAAGGAAAAGCAGCCTTTCGGAAAGGAAATTCATTGGTTAGCCTCGGGCCCGAGCACCTTCGCCCGGGCAGCGGGCAGCGGGCAGTGGGCGGCGGTGACCGCGGCGGGCGGGCGAACCGCGGGGCGCCGTCGAGAGCTAATTAAACAGGCGCGCGGTGCGTCGCCGCCAGCATCGCAAACACGACGGTCGCCCACACGAAGGTACGGCAGGCGGACAGGCAGAAGGAAGCCAGAGGGCAGGCGGACAGGCAGGCAGGAATCCAGGAAGTTAGGCAGGTAGTGATACAGGCAGGCAGAGAGGCAAACCGGTAGGAGGCAGACAGGAATACAGGGAGGCAGGTAGGCAAGCAGATAGGCAGAAAGGCAGTCATAGAGCAGACAGACAATCTGAAGGCCGGCGGATATGCAGGCAGGGATGCGGATAGGAAAACAGGCAGATAGGCAGAAGACAGGCACATAAATAGTCAGGGATACAGGCAGGCAGATAAGCAGATAGGCAGACAGGGATGCAGATAGGCAAACAGGCAGACAGATGACAGTAGGTAAACAGGCAGGCAGACGGGCAATCAGAAAGAGATTATGGTACACATATACGCAGATGGCAGGCAGGTAGGCAAACAGGCAGGAAGCCAGACAGGCAGGGAGAAAGGAAGGCAGATAGGAAGGGGGCAGGTAGGTGGGCAGGCGGGTAGGCCGCGGTCGCGGAGGCCGGCCCGCGGAAGAAGCGGCCCGCGTGTCGCACGCGTGCGCCGCTGCAGCCCGCGCCTCCGCTTCCTTCACTCGCACTGCAATGG